TTGTCAGCACTGGCATCTTTGCCAACCTGAAGCCCCCCTCCCTCTCTTCTCCAACCCTGGACCTGGTGGTGTCAGTTCTGTACTCGATGGTGCCTCCAGCAGTGAATCCCCTCATCTACAGCCTGAGGAATCAGGATATGAAGGATGTCCTCAGGAAATTGATGTCTTTATGTTTTTGTGGAGCAACAAACTGTCTGTTTTCTTCCGCACAGCACTTATAGTGTAACTCACTGCAGGCCAAGCCTCCTGTCTTCTTTTGTTTTTATTTTTGTTGATGTTTTCTTACATTTGATAAAATTTTCAGGCCCTTTCTAGTTCCGTGTCTACTTCAATTTTCTGACTGATCCTTGTGCTGAGGGAAAGGGGAAGAGAGGCCTGGCAGAGCAGCCCAGCCAGGGAACACCCGCTTTTGATCTCTCCAGAGCTGCTCTCTCCACACCCATCGTCTCCTCCTGAGTCCCTGTGCTGGGGTAAGGCCTGAGTGCTCCAGCAGCTTGGTCCCCATCCTGCAGTGTGGCCGTCATGTGACCACAGGCAGGGAGAGCCGAGAATAGTGTTTCCTTTATGGCATCTCTTTGGGGCAGTCCCTGAAGGCTTAAGTTTTATTCTTAATTTGATCTCAAGAGCATGGTCAAGAACGTGGCCCACACCAGAAAAGATGAATGAACAGGTCAGTGGTGTGAGTATCCATGCCTCGGGAACACGTGTGTTCTCATCCAACCAGACCTCTTGGCAGAGACCTGAGGGACCAGCAGGGCAGGATCTCCTCTGTGCCCATTATAACAGGACACAGCAGGAAGCCGCCTGTGCTAGTTTGGGCTGGGATTGAGTTAATTTTCTTCATCACAGACAGTATGGTCTGTGTTTTGGGTGTTTGTTGAAAATGAGGTTGATAATACAGGGATTTTTTTTATTTCTGAGCAGCACTTGGACAGAATCAAAGCTTTTTCTGCTTCTCATGCCTGGTCACCAGTGAGGAGACTGAGGGTGCACAAGAATTTGAGTGGGAACACAGATGAGAGAGCTGATACTAACTGACTCAAAGGATCACACAATCATAGAATTCTACAATCCTAGAATCATAGAATTGTATCACCTGGAAGAGACCTAAAAGATCGAGTCCAGCCTTTTTCCCAGCCCCATTAACCTACTAAATGATTCCCCCGAATGCAGCATCCACCCGTCTCTTAAACACCTTCAGGGACAGTGACTCAACCTCCTCCCTGGGCAGCTTGTTCCAATAGCTGACAACCCTTTCAGCATAGAAATTCTTCCTAATATCCAACGTGAACCTCCCCTGGTGCAATTTAATCCATTTCTCCTCATCCTATCACTACTCACGAGGGAGAATAAACCAACCCCTGCCTCTCTACGACCTCCCTTCAGGTAGTTGTAGAGAGCGATGAGGTGTCTCCTCAATCTCCTCTTCTCTAGGCTAAAACAGCCCCAGATCCCTCAGCCTTTCCTCATAAGACCAATGTTCTAAGTCCTTGACCAGCTTGGCAGCCCTGTATCCTCTCCAGCACCTCAATGTCCCTCTTGTAGTGAGGGGCCCAAAACTGGACACAGTACTTGAGATGAGGCCTCACCAAAGATGAGTAACAGGGGAATAATCACCTCCCTGCTCCTGCTGACAACACCGTTCATGATCCAGGCCTTCTTGGCCACCTGGGCACACTGCTGACTTGTGTTCAGCCGTCTGTCTATCAATACCCCCAGGTCCCTCTCTGCCTAGCAGCTCTCCAGCCACGTCTCTCCAATCCTGTAGTGCTACTGGGGGTTGTTTTGGCCCAAGTGCAAGCCCTGGCATTTAGCCTTATTGAAATTCATGTGACTGGCCTTGGCCCAGCCATCTAGCCTGTCCAGATCCCTCTGGAAAGCCTCTCTGTCCTCAAGCAGCTCGACACTTCCACCCAGCTTGGTGTCATCTGCAAACTTACTAAGGATGCACTCCATCCCCTCGTCCAGATGTTAATAAAGATGTTAAACAGGAGCGGCCCCAGTACTGAGCCCTGGGGGACACCGCTCGTAACTGGCCACCAACCGTATTTAACTCTGTTAACCACAACTCTTTGGACTTGGTCATCCAACCAGTTTTTCACCCAGTGAGGTGTATGCCCCTCCAAGCCAAGAGGAGTTAATTTCTCTAGGAGAATGCTGTGAACAAGTCTCGAATGTCTTACTAAAGTCAAGGTAGATGACACCCACAGCCTTTCCTTCATCAAGCAAGTGAGTCACCCAGTCATAGAAGGAGATCAGGTTTGTTAAACAGGACCTATCCTTCATAAATTCGTGCTGACTGGCTCTGATCACCTGGTTGTCCTGCATGTGCTGCATAATGGATGATCTACTCCATAAGCTTCCCTGGGACTGAAGTTAAACTGACAGGCCTGTAATTTCCCAGGTCATCCTTCCTTCCCTTCTTATAGATGGGTGTTGTATTTGCTGACTTCCAATCAGCTGAGACCTGTCCAGTCAGCCAGGACTGCTGATAAATGATGGAGAGTGGTCTGGCGAGATTCCCCTCCAGTTCACCTGGTACTCTAGGATGAATCCCGTCTGGCCCCAGAGATTTGTGGACATCGACATCAACATCGACAGTCTTACCTCAGTGCCGGGAAAGGTGATGGAACAAATAATCTCAAGAGCCATCACAGAACAATTAAAAGCCAACAGGGAGATCAGGCCCACTCAGCATGGATTCATGAAGGGCAGATCCGGCTTGACAAATCTAATCTCATTCTATAACAAGGTGACCTGCTTAGTGGATAAAAGAAAGGCTGTCGATGTAGTTTACCTGGACTTCAGTAAGGCCTTTGACACCGTCCCTCACAACATCCTTATGGCTAAGCTGGCTGCCCATGGCTTGGATGGGCACATACTCTGCTGGGTGAAACACTGGCTGAGATTTGTCGTCAATGGAGTTAAATCCAGCTGATGGCAGGTCACGAGTGGTGTCCCTCAGGGCTCGATGCTGGGACTGCTCCTGTTCAACGTATTCATCAATGATCTTAATGAGGGGATTGAATGCACCCTCAGCAAGT